GCCCCAGTTAGGTAAATTTAATCTTCTTGAGGGTTGTTGCATTACAGCTGAATGAGATAGGCAGTTATCTTATTACTGATCTTTCTCTCATTCAGGGTTTGCATTCTGGCATTTGTGGTGTGAAGTGTGCTTGCCCAAGAGCAGTCCTAGGAGTATCTTCCAAGGGAGATGAAGAAGTGTAGGGGAACTGTTAGCACTTTGCAAGGTCTGACTCTTTATCTTGGAAATGTTCACGCTTCTTGTCAGTCGCGGTACTGCGGGTCCCACCTCCTTTTGGGTAGAAATGTACAAAATGGTTGCTTCACCCGTTTGTCAGGAAATGTCTGAAACTCAGCCTCGTGGCATTTTCTTCTCATGTCTTTCTGCCAGTTCCTTCCAAAATCCCTGGCCGTGCCTCTGTTCCTGTTGAGGTCAAGGGCAAGGCTCCCACTGATTCCAGGGTAAGCAAGGAGTTAAATGTCATAGAATCATAGAATCGTTAGGGTTGGAAAGGACCTTAAGATCATCTAGTTCCAACCCCCCCCCCGCCATGGGCAGGGACACCTCACACTAAACCATGCCACCCAAGGCCCTGTCCAACCTGGCCTTGAAAATGTCAAACCCAAAACCAACTGATTGCATTGAAGAGGAAACTCTTCATTGTTTTCCACGGATGCGGGGTCAGGCTCTCCATATGTGATCCCACAGCATTAACTCTCATGACAAATCCCACTGAAACCCAGGGAGCGACTCCCATGCGTTAGCACTACCACATCCAATGTACGGTGTTACAAAGACCCTGCAACAATTTAGCTTTTCTCTTGGTCATATGGTGAAGGTAAAGGATAAGGCAGGAAAAGGGAAATAGAAGGAATAAATGAACAGAGATATTTTGATCTGGTTGTAAAGAATGATTATGTTCTGCATGGAATACAAGTACTAAAAAAAAAAAAAAGACATTGGATGTGTTTTCAGATAAGAAAATGTTATTTTATTGAACGGAAAGATATATATGTTTCACCTATCACATCTGAACTAATCAGTGCAGGCTTTTAGAAGAAGTCTGTAATTACTCTGAGCACGTCATTAGTTAGATGTAAAATGAATGATATTACTCCGTTTTATTACCTCTAGTGATATAGCCATTTGTATCATAAATTCATTGACCTCATCTTAAATGATCAATCCTGTAAGACAGACTTGATTCATTAATTCTTAAGTGACATTTTTTCTCCTCCAGTAATTTCCTCCTCATTGTAGGGACTGTTTTTCTGCTTTTTAGTATGGTCTATAAGGTGTCATATTACCTGCGTACAACATGGACATTTTATACTCGTATCTTAAATAAGTAACATAGACTGATTGGATGGAAGGATGGCTAGATGAATGGATGGATGGATGGATGGATGGATGGATGGATGGATGGATGGATAGATAGATAGATAGATAGATAGATAGATAGATAGATAGATAGATAGATAGATATTAATGAAATGGTGCATGTCATAGGTAGACATTTCTCACTGACATTAACTTCAACGCTCGAGGTGTTGCATAAAATCAATGAGATAATTATTAGATATTTGGTTCATCCAGGATGTTCAGAGGAACAGAATTGCTGCCTTTAATTTCTGTGGCTTTAATTAATTTTATCTAGTGATAAAATACACAGAACGGTCTGTGATCAATATGTGAGGCAAGCAGACTTCAGAGTTTCGTGTACCTCAGTGAATTATTGAAAACAGGAGAAATCAGTAGAGAATTTCTAAGCAGGATTTCTAAATATTTTACCGAAGAAGAGAAAATATTTGTTTAGGTAGGGGTGACAAAGGAGCCCACTTGAGAAAAACAGATCAATACAGCAATAAAACACTAAAGTATTCCAGTGAATGTTTCAACTGATAACTAATAAAATTAAATTATTAGAAAAGATGCCAAAAGTTTTTCAGGGGCTGTATTTTTCTTCCAGTCTGTTAAATTAAAGTCACTGAGGGGGCTCTTCCTAGAAAGATATGGAGGCTGGGTTTACTCTCTCGTATTTCTCTGTTGCTTCTGTGGCAGCAGACTTACAAGTTGGTTTGATTCCTTTGCCCCAAAGTAAGGACAGGTCTTAGCTGCACCGTCCCAGAACTAAATCAGGGAAGCAGTTGCATCTGAAGTCCTGCCCCATTTCATACAGCAGCTGCCTCTGGGGCCTGTCTCCTCCTCATCTTTTCTTTGCAAGCAGACACTGTTTTTGTGGGTGATCATAGAATTGACTAGGCTGGAAGATGGGTGGTCTTCATCTTGCCCCAGCCTGCACCAGGGGACGGCTGGGAGCTCCTGGTACCTCCTTGTGAGTCTCTTGGGGTACATGTGGAGACCCCCTGGCTCTTTGCATAGCCCTTGGGGCAAGAACATATCCTGCAAGTGGCAGAAGGAGCGTGTCAGTGTATTTTCTGATTCCATACATGCAAAATAGATAGCATTTTATGGCTACTGTGGTGAGCTCTTGATCAAAAGTTACTTTAAGGTAAATTCAGCAGCTTTACTGAGTTAAATAGTACCATACTAATTTGTGGTGTAGACGCACAAATTCCCCTTTTGTCTGCTTGAAAAAGAGTGGAAGCCAAAAAAATTCAGGAGGTCAAGATGTTTCCATCTGTGCTGACTTGCCACGTGGTTGGCAAAATCCATACCCGTGCCAAATACCTGGGATGGTTAAGTGCCCACTGCTGCATGTTTGCACTATCTGCAGTGAGGGTTTACCCAGTGCCGTCTGTGATGGCTGCTGAGCAGGGCCACTGCAGGGAGCAGAGGGAGAGCCGATGCCTGGTAAAACCTGGGAGCCTGTGGAAGTAAGGGTACCCCTGCTTTGCCTTGATCAGTGCACTCACACTTCCCATCTGCCCCATGCCCAGGGAGGGTGCATGAGCTGTGGCAAAGGAAGCATTTATCTTGACCCTTCTGTGCATCTGACAGCCTTTTTGTCCATGTTTTTTAGGGCACTATATCGCCAATGTGCATTCAGTGCAGGGCTGGACTTGTTTGTAACTCACTGAGAAATTTTCTTCTTTGCGTTGGGGCATCAGGCTGGAAATACGCCTGTCCTAATGCCACATGTGCTGCACAGCAGCAGCACCCCCTCTGCTTTATCTCACGTGGCACTGTGTCTCTGTGCCCAAGCTAAAAATCCAGGCCCTGCATTCCGAAACTTCTGGGGTGACTTAATAGCTGCTACTTCTCAAGTGATGACTTAGCTTGATTTAAATCTACCCTTGTGGTAGAGAGAGGCAGTGTGTGTGAGAGTGCGTGAATGAGGAGGGAAAGCAGGAGAGGGAACCCGTCTGGATAATCAAAATGTTGCAGAGTTAAAATAAATGGGCTAATAGCCATAGCATATAGTGTGTGTATGTGTGTGTGTGTATATATATATTAAAGATATATTACTGAAAACTCGGAAATGTCACCACTGTTTATATTAAAGGAAAGCTGAGAGTTAAATGAGATGGGTAATCAGATGCCTGACATATGTTGTTTTGAATTGTTTATATGGCCAATAGTTATTAAAATTAATTATCCTTTTAATGCAGTCTTTTCACAATCATATTCTTTTTCTTTTCCTACAAAAGATAGAGTAATTTCAAAACAAGCCTATATGGGCTATTTGGAAAAGGCAGAATAAACAATACCAGGATGTATCCTGACGTGGTCATAGGCTCAACATGCTAATAGAAAGCACCAAAAATCTCTGTCAGTAGAGTATTTTGAGAACTAATGTAAATGACAAAAATGGGGGTTTTGTGTGTGTAAAATTCTGTCAAAGAAGTAAGGCACTGAAAAATCTGACATCTGTTTATCTGTTTATAGCTATGGCAAGATTACTCATATTAATTCTTGTTTAAAATGCCATATGAAGGAAAGGCATTTGTGCAAACAAGAGTCATATTTGAATTGTAGATCATGTCTTCACCATCTGTGAGAGCTGTTGGTGTTGCAAAATTAATGTGTTAATGAAATCACAATAATTTCTCTGAAGTAATGGATTCTGAAGCCTAGAATGACTATTTTTTGAACTTTGGTGTCTAGTGGTTTACAACTGGGAAAACCTTTCACAGCTTAATTAGTTCTGCAGCCCTACTTTAAAAAAAATTGGCTAAGCCTTCACCACACCAATAGTAACACACACACACAAAAAAAGGATTAAATGGAGAGCAGAGAAACAAAACACAAATGAGCCTGCGATGCAAACTTTTTGCCATAGTATTTGAAAAAATTGCTAAATAGGCCCTTGCTTGCCAAGAAGTTTTACTCAGAGTGACTCGTACACAAGAGTGGGCCAACAGCTCAGAACATAATTCCAGCTCAGAAAATAATTCCAGCTTGCCGAAACATCACAAATTGGGACTATTCGAACCTTACACAAATGTCCTGACTATTTCCAAGTTTCTCCTTGGAATGAAGGGCAAAGGATGAATGATGCTTTTTGCTTCATGATGCTGTTTGAAAGCACTACACCTTTTCCAACTTATTATTTGATGCCCTTAATAGAATACTAAATGTTACAGTGTGCTGAAGTTTAGCAGAAATGGTTTGCATGCATTTCCAGAAACTTTCTGAGTCCTTTTCTAGTTATCATACTCCTTGCGCAATATGGCATCTCAGATGGTAGAGGTGTGCATAGATTACCACTGAAAAGTAATCACAGCCATACTCATATGGACTTTGTATACTTATATATGCATGCTATAATAGTTTATGCCAGCTGAGGATTCGTATCTGTGGTATGGGTTTCAGATATATAATGTACTGTATAAGGTATAATTGAGATCATCGGAGCCAGAAAAGGGAGTGGCATTCAATTCACCAATATTTTGGAGAAAAAAAAAAAGCATAGTTTTCACAAATGTAACTATTTTTTTTTTTTTACTAGAAAAGTAATGTGGGTATTTACAAAGCAACTGAAAATTTACTTTTAAAAATAACACTATGAAGAGAAGATTGCTTTTCTTACCTGATTTGATTTTATTGCTGTGTTGTAGGTATGTGACTGGTGTAAGCACATAAGACACACAAAAGAGTATCTGGATTTTGGGGACGGGGAAAGAAGGCTTCAGTTCTGCAGTGCAAAATGTCTCAATCAGTACAAAATGGACATTTTCTACAAAGAGACACAGGCCAATCTTCCAGCTGGACTGTGCAGTACATTACATCCTCCAGTCGAAAATAAAGCAGAAGGCACTGGGGTGCAGCTGCTGACTCCAGATTCTTGGAATATACCGCTAGCAGATGCTCGGAGAAAAGCCCCATCCCCAGCGTCTGCAGCTGGCCAAATTCAAGGTCCTGGACCATCAGCGTCTACCACTGCCTCTCCGTCTGACACTGCCAACTGCTCTGTCACTAAAATCCCCACGCCAGTTCCCAAACCTATTCCCATCAGTGAGAATCCAAATATTCCACCAGTTTCTGTCCAGCCACCTGCTAGCATTGTGCCTCCAATTGGTGTCCCACCTCGCAGTCCTCCCATGGTAATGACAAACCGTGGGCCAGTTCCTCTGCCCATATTCATGGAGCAGCAAATTATGCAGCAAATCCGTCCACCATTTATTCGCGGGCCGCCTCACCATGCCTCAAATCCTAACAGCCCTCTGTCAAATCCAATGATTCCTGGAATCGGTCCGCCACCAGGTGGCCCCAGAAATATGGGTCCGACCTCTAGCCCCATGCACAGGCCGATGCTTTCCCCTCATATCCATCCCCCCACAACACCTACCATGCCTGGAAATCCTCCCGGCTTATTGCCGCCTCCCCCTCCCGGAGCTCCTTTGCCCAGTCTTCCCTTTCCCCCTGTCAGCATGATGCCAAATGGTCCTATGCCTATGCCCCAGATGATGAACTTTGGATTGCCATCCCTTGCCCCGCTGGTGCCACCCCCGACTCTACTAGTGCCATATCCTGTCATTGTCCCTTTGCCTGTCCCTATCCCCATTCCCATTCCCATCCCTCACATCAATGACTCCAAACCCCCCAATGGCTTCTCCAGCAATGGTGAAAGCTTCATTCCGAGTACCTCCAATGAAACATCTGGGGGAAAGCCAAACAATAGCTCTTCATCCCCCCGAGAGTCGAAGCAAGGATCATCTAAATCCTCTGACTCGTCACCGAGCTGCTCAGGCCAGTCCCTAAATCAAGCTCAAGTGCTTCAGGAGCACAGTAAAAATGAAGTTGTTGACTTGACTGTCAGACCTAGTAGTCCAGTGAACAGTAAATTTGGTTTCCCCAGTGTGCTACAGGGTCCACAGGATGGTGTGATAGACCTAACAGTAGGCCACCGGTCTAGGCTGCACAATGTTATCCACAGGGCTTTACATGCCCAAGTGAAAGTTGAACGTGAACCTAACAGTGTTGTAAATCTGGCTTTTGGTAGCTCAGACAAAAGGAACTGCAGTGACTGCAGGGACAACTGCAGCCCAGTTGACTCAAAAACGTTACCGTGCAGTGACGGAGCTCACTGCTGTCCCGTCTCCTTGGCCTCTGGCACGCTGGGACTGGAAGCTGGTGCAGCGGTGTGCAACGTCATTGTGAATGGCACGAAGAGCACGGAGGGTTCCAAGAACCCGGAGCCGCCCCAGGAGCTGAAAAAGCCCCAGCCCTCGGAGGAGCTGGCTGTGAGCGAGCTGGAGTCTGTTAAGGAGAACAACTGCGCATCAAACTGCCACCTTGAGGGAGATGCTGGCAAGAAGGCTGGGGAAGAGCCCCTTGCTGGGGGAGACAAACAGGACCCGAACCTTAACAATCCAGCAGACGAGGACCATGCATATGCTTTGCGGATGCTGCCCAAGACAGGTTGCGTGATCCAGCCTGTGCCAAAACCAGCAGAAAAGACTGCTATTGCACCGTGCATTATCTCAACACCAATACTCAGCACAGGGCCAGAGGATCTGGAGCCACCATTGAAAAGGAGGTGTCTCCGAATTCGAAATCAGAATAAGTAAAGGTTTGTGTAATCACTACTGCCTTCTGTGTGAATAGAATGAGTATTTTCAGGTATGAGGTCAAACTCATGTGGATGTGGCCTTTGCAAAACAAAAAGTTACTGATTCCAATTTATCAGCATTTTCAGAAAACTATTGGTATTTATGTTTTAAGATTGTTCTTCATGTTGTATTGCATCTGTACTTGTCAGTACTCCATTCATCAGCAGCCTCATTACACTTTCACTCACAGAACATTTCATGATAGTGCTGGCTGTGAAGTTATTGTGTTGTGTATGTCGAAGTCAGTGGTTTTCTGCCTAGGATATGGTTTAGGTCTCATCCATTAATCTGCTTACTTATTCCAGCTGAGTTAGGCAGCAGCTCAGGCCTTCATGCTGATGATTGAAATTGCCCTACAGCACAGCCGAGAGCAGGATGACCCAGCTGCTTCCTGCTAGCTCAAATCCAACTGATTTACCAGATGGTCATCTCCAGTCATCCTAGTCTGGTTTGTCTCCAGACCGCAACCTGGCTTTCAGCTGGGCTGTTTTGGGGGGATGGAACCCCCTCTCCCTGAGCTTTCCTTCTTCAGATGCTGGTACTTAGAGGTTGCCTGCTGTCTGGAAGACAGCAAGACCTATAGCATGGGGCTTGGGTCTCTTACCTGAGTTATCTGCTTTTGGTGCAAGTCTCCCACCTTAGAAAAGCAGCTGAGGTTCCCCCCATCCCTGCAGTTGGTATATGTGTGTGGTTCCTGGCAGGGCTGTAAAGCAAGGCAGAGACAGCGGTAAGTCCGCCAACAACAGTGGCTTGTCCGAGGACAATGCTCTAGAGACATCCCCCCCCCCTTTTTCATTCCCTATTCCCAGGCTACTGAATCCCTCTGATAAAACAGCACCTTTGTAAAAGTGTTAGTTTAATATACGTCTTTTGCTTCAAACCTGTGAACAAGAAACAAATGTAATTGCATTTGTTTAGATTCACAAGCATCGAGAGCATCTTTGAGGAAAAGGGAAAATGGTGGGTGTTGCAAGAAATCTGTTCAGCAGTAAAATACTGACGGCTTGCCGGATGTGGCTTGGTGACGCGCCAGATTTCATTACAATCCATGGAATATTCTGTAGCCTCCAGTAAATCCCTGTCCCTGGTAGCACAAATAGTGACTGCAGTGGTGCTTGGCACCTACAACCATAGATAGCAGCGCATGCTGTGAAATCTGTGCCATTGCAATATCTCCCTGCTCTGTCATTGCAGGCTATTTGCACCATCAAAAATACCGCAGTATAGTCAGAACTCCCTTTTTATTTGTTAATACCACATTCCCTGTGCTGGCTGCAATGCCGGATATGTTACTTCCCTTGATCACAAACAGTATTTATTTACTTTCTTCGATGGAACAGAACCATTATTCTTTGCTCTCAGCATGTGCTAACACATTTAAAAGATATATTTGTAAGTGCAGAGGACATCTATAACTTTCTTGGGCTATTCAACAACATATATATAACTTGGAGGTCGAATGAATATTTAAAATCTTTACACAATCCTAAGTCCTGCTAGTGGGGATCCCCCTAACTACCCCTGAGGTATGGATGGACTATATGCTCTCTCAGCAGCGAGATCTTTATTGCAAACCTCAGTGTGCCGCTTCTGGAGCTTGAAAGATTGTCTCTTCATAAATGTATGCACGCTTTTACCTTGGGGTAATGATTTGATCTAGAGAGAAGGCCACTATTTGACTGCATCCCTTTTATTAAATTTTAGGAGAGCCATGGTTAACCCTTCCTCTCCTACCTGTTCAAATACCCCATAGCTGTGGTTTGCTTCAAGCCAGTGCACATTTGTGTACTGACACAGTACTTAAAGACAGGCATCTATTTATGCTTGCCTGAACCATCCAGGCTGCAGTAATGCCACCTCTCTGAGGTCCCAGTCCCAGGAGGGCTTTAGCATCATTCAGAGCCAAAGCCTTAAAACATCAGAGGGAGTTCTGGCTTCACTGAATTGTGTATTTTTGCCTGTTGACATGATTATATATGACATCATTTCACGGGTAGTATTTGACAGAAAAAGTGGGCACACTGAACAAGCTGCATTGAAAAGACAAGAATCACTCACTGTCCTCAGCTTTTTGTATTCTCTAAATGTCAATAACTGCCACTGTGGTTATCCTCAGGAGTAACCATTTTCCTATTCACCAAGAGTTGCATGTATTCCTTTGTCCCAGCGTAAGGACTGTCTTACAGAGAAGTTTTCAGGTTGTCAGGCAAGATTAATCTGACTCAATATAGACATCTGGAATGAAGACACAGCTGAGCTAATTGTCTAAACTCTCTTTAAAATCAACCTACAGAAGCAGGCGCTTCAAAGAGACAGCTGAGCTCATCCTGAAGTCAACAACTAAGACAGCTCAGACAAACTGTGCCCTAGGAATGGCTTTTTCTCCCTGCTGTGAAGGAAACTTAGTGTGACTGGCACAGACATGGATGTCCCCATAGACACTGTAAGTTAAAAAGCCCAGCCTGGGTGTCTGCCATGCCTCTGGGGTTTGTGCAGTAGCATAGTATGGCATGGTGATGGTTATTAGTCAGTCTGTATTCGTCCCCTCCTTTCTTCACAAGAAAAGATGTAGCCTCTGTGAGGAAGAGATGTGAGACCAGGATCCTTGTGTGCTTCAAGGGAAAGAGGATACCCAAAATACTCTGCAGAAATAAACAGCATAATAACCATCTCATTCCAGTGGGTACCACAGTGAAATGTGGACAGGTTTTGAGCCTTTCAAGTCACGCACAAGTGGTTTGTGCAGCTCTGATGACTGATTTGAGGTGTGGACTCTTTGGTTTTATGCAGACCCCCTCCCCCTTTTGCTAGTGCTGGTCATAGGCAGTATAGGGGAGCAAGAAGGCCGCTTAGATTTCTGGCCTCCCAGCAGTCTGTGATGACTGCACAGGGCTCAGAGCCTGCCTGTCTATACAGAGGGGATGAGCAGAGGAAGCAAGAGGGAACAAGCAGGGGAGCAGAGCATCAGTGCAGCCTCTTGCACCATAGCCCTGACCTCAGCTGTGCCCATGAGTTCCTCATGCCCAGGCCTGGGGAAGGACAATGGTAAATCCCAGCTCCTTTGGCAGTCTGGTTGTGGGGAGGATTCCTCATGGGAGACTCCCAACTCTTCAGAAATTATAATAAAATACAAGCAAGGTAGGAGCTGAACTAATAATTGTGTTGACTTGGGCCCTTGGAGGTTTGTATTGATTGCACTGGCCACGCTAACCTGGGAGACAGAAAAAGTTCATAGAATTGTCTTTTTCTCTCCTGCTCCCCACCTACCCTAATTGGAAAATCTGAACATGCTGCCCTAACATGCAGCTTTCCTTGGATTTTATTTCCCATAAAATTGTATGAAAAGAAGGAAATTAGCCAAATATTTTTACGCTAGAGTTCTGGACAGACAGATTGAATTTGTGTAATAGAAACATGGGCTCTCTGAAAAGGAATCAATGCAAGCGTGACCTTTTCAGGCAAGTCGCCAAACTCTGGATTATTTAATGTACCAATTACTTGATTATTGGAAGTGCTAATCAGCAACATAATCCTTGATGTTAAAGTTTAGTCTCTCCATCAGGATGTGGACTGTCAAGCTGTTCTAGCTTGATGCAGTTGGAAGGACCAGTAAAAGATGCCTCCGTGCCAAAGTCCTACAATGATAAAGGAATGAAGCTAGGAAGAATATTCTGTTGAGTGTTATTTTTTCAAGTTTGAGCAACGCGAGTTTCTAAAATTAGCAGTGTTAGTGTTGACTGCCTGCATGCTTTATGTCCAGGCGGGATCAGTTTTAACCCTCCAGTTCTGGTGTCAAGGTTTCCTAAAGCAAATAAATGAAAACACTAGGGTCTGCTTGGATTTAACATGACAGTTATTGTAAACTAAATTAGAAAACTAAGTGGCACATGCTAAACTCTCAGCTAGCTTCTGTGTGTGTTCATTAATCCTATGCTGGGGGCAGAGGGGTAACAAAAGGAAGGAGTTTCTCTGCTTGTGTCAGCAGAATTTCTCCAGAAGTAATGGAAGTAGTAGGACTATGGCCACCTACCTGTAAGTCCTGGGGTCAGCATCTGCTGAGTTATAGGCCCAAACCTCCAGCTGTCTAGTCCATACATTGTAGTTGTAAAAATGTACAACATGCAGAATGCTCCAGTTCAGAGCAGAAGTAATATATATCCCACTGTGAGCTCCCCTGCCCATAATGGTCCAGCACAAAATTTCCTGCTCAGGTCAGGATTCCTGAAGCAAGGGCCATAGCTATTAACCTCCCTTTCTGCCTTACGAGTTTTTATCGCTTCCCTGTCACTGTAGCATCTATCCGCCGGCATCTTACCCTGCCCAGCTTCCTATGATCAGGACAAAATTTGACCTTAAAGGTATACTTGAAAACAGATTTTTGATATTTAAACACATTTTTATGCTAGTCGTCTCCGCTGACACAGTACTGTGGGCCAGAGATTCAGCTAATTTTAACTGGATATAGTTCCACTGGTGCTAAACTAATTTAAATCAGCAGAGTAATTGGACTCATACACTTAACACCTACTCTTCTGGTTCAGAAGTTTTCCTTCACCTGGCTTCTCAGGAGCCTACAGAAATTTTCCATTTATCCAAAGAGGGAGAGGAGAGGCTGCTAACACCACAAAGCCTTAAACACATTTGCTTGTAATGGAAGCTTTGCCCTTGAGAGATGCCTGGCTCTAGCAGTGTGATCTTACATTTTAAAATTGCCTGTGTAGCTTCTCAGATGGATACATTAAATCAGAAAAGGGGTTTCCCAGGGAAAAAAAAGGGCTCTCAAAATGGTGAAGTATAAAATGACATACTTCCAGGGTAGCTTTCAGCTCCCACATCTTGCTGCCGGGGTGTGGGAGTGCTGACTTCCTTCTCAGGGGCAGTAAATAGCAGGCTTGTGATACACTGCCATAGATCGCTGCACACTCTTTGAATCAAAGGAACAAGTGCTGATTTCTGGTGGGTTCCTCCTGCTTTTCTGTAAAACCCTTTAGGGCATATGTTTCAAATATGATATCCGATTCTTGAACCCAATTTAGAAAACAATTTCACCTGGTCTGATTTACAGAGGTAGTGAGCATCTAGGGCTGTTGGCAAACAAAACACATGGCCAGAACTTCAGCGGGTAAAAAATGGCATAACTCAATTGACTGAAATCTGCAGACCTTGCAGCTCCTGGAGACTGTAGCCTACCTGTCAACTCCCAGGGTCTGGGACCACTGACTTCAGAGATCTTTTTTGGTGCTTGCTTGCCCTTACTAGTTGTAATTGTCTTGTGAAATGAAAATCATTTGAACTGAAATAAGCATGTAATCCATGCCATTCCCTAAGCTGGTACCACCCACATTCATATTGAAATGAGTTACTCATAATTCTTTGCCAGGCTTTAAAGACTGACCAGGCACTTTCATACATACAAGGCTAAATGCTCCTCTTATTTAAGCTGGTGCAAATCAGACTGGGCTGCTCTCAAAAGTGTAAAGTGTGAAACAGGCACAGGGAAGAGTAGCTCCCCATCTCTCTGTTCTTGTGCTGTTGAGCTACCAAAGGAAACTTTATGGGGAAAAAAAAGCACAACTCATGATTAAATACAGAGTCCCTAACAACAAAGACCATAGTAAACCAGAGCAGTAAACCAGACAAGGGTTTACAGACCCTTGTAAAAACATCATCTGAGACAATGGTTGCCATTACATTCAGAGGCCGAGATGCTGGACAGTATGTGTCTGATTGCTGCTGAAATCTGATAAGGAGCTAAGCACCTAATAACCTTTGTGAAGCTTGACCCTGAAACAATCATAGCCAACTTCAGTGCAGAACGGTGAGATCTGAACAACTGTTAGGATTTTACAAACTATTTCTCAGGAGCAATACTTGAAAGTGGGTCAGAAAGAAGCAAAACACTTTCGGGGACTGTGGTTGTGAAAAAGATGGGCATAATCAAGCAGTGAGCAATAGATTTTAAGATAAAACTAAGTTCTTTCTAAAAAAGCAGGGGGAGATTCAAGCAAAGCAGAAGCAAAGCTGTTTGCACAAGAAATCACGAGGAAATCAGATTGACCAGCAAGCTTTTCTGAAGCACTTTTTGTTTCCAGATTACCTGCTGAGTCTCTCCTGTCTATTTTTAAGTATTTTTACAGAGCAAACCAGGCAATTTAAGCACATTCCTGGGTGCTTCCATCAGTTGAGTTCCCATGGCTGACACCTACTAATCACTACCTTATTTACACTATTTTGATAACAAGGTGCATTTCACTCCCAGGACCAGAGGTTGTGTTTGGAAGCATGTGTGATCATCCTGTGAGAACTGTGAGTCGGAGTAACCTCTGACATTCTGCAGAACCCTCGACTATTCGACATTTTCTTCTACCATGAGAAAATTACAACTAATTAAATATCTAGGTTTGATCCTGTGCAGTACTGTGCACACTCAGCGCTCAGTGCCTCTAATGCAAGTTGAAAGCTCTCAGCACATTACAGATGAGGTCCTGCTTCTGACTCATCTGCATGGCTTTACTTCCCCAGACACGATTTTGGTATTTGAAGAGACTGGTATTCCTGTACAACATGTGTCTCAATTTGTAATGGTATCCTCCCTGCAGCTGGCTCACTTTTCCAAGTGTTCCTGAAACATTACTGTCTTAAATTCAAGCCAACCTACAATAACAAATTATCTAGCGGCACAGCGGCTGAACTGTGTTTGTTGAGAGGATGCTCCCATTCTCTGCTGCACTCCATCTTCCCAGTTTCAGACTTTCAGGCTGTGTAATGTAATCATCTTCTATGGAAGCACACATTTCCTCCCCCCAAAAACATCCCTTATAAAAATAGGGGGTTTAGGAATTGGGCAGTGGAGAGAGAAATAACTATCAAGTTCCAACCTCTCTGGAAAGATCTGCATCCTATCATCAGCCAATTGATATTGGAACCTATGGTTAGAGCAATTTTCATCTATTTATTTGGAGTCCACGTGGTTAAATGTAAAACTTTGTGTTGCCTGCTTATGCTCCAAATATTTATAAGCTTTCATGAACCACTTGTGCTGCCACTTCTAAGTTGCCTATTCAAAAGGAGGGGAAAAAGAACCCTTTCCCACAGGAATTCAGCTGAGAGATGCTTGAGTATAAGTAGAAAAGGAAAGATATGTGATGAAGTCACTGAAAGCTTAAATTCTGACCCTAAATTTCAAATAGCAACTAAAATGCCAGTTCAGTTTTATTTGAAAGAGTTTACCGATTATTGATGAAAAAGTTATCTTGGTGGTAAAAATACTGCTTCTTTTTTCTTGAAGTGGGAGGGAAGGTGGGAAATAAATAGAGAAAATCTGTAACAATGGTGTCCAGCAGTGCTGGGGATAAAGCCTGTGTTCTAAGCTTCGTGGCACTGAGGTCTATGCCAGGTCTCACCTGCTTGCTCCTTATGTTGCTGGGTGGGGTTTTTCTGCTCCTCCCCGCCCCCCCAGTATAATCTGCCTGACAGTTTGGCTGCCTGAGCATGACCTCTTGCCTTTGGATGAGTCTGCATCTGCTCTTCCTTAGGCTGAATTGAACCAGGATGGGGGCTGGGAAAACAAGGGAGAGAAACACCATGGGGCCAGTAGCAGGCATGCAGACCTTCATGCTTATGGATGGAGGGGTTGTTTGTGCGAAAATGTGAAAATGTTGATTGTATGGGATGCTGAAACTTTTCACTAAAAGAGTCAGTGCTGCTCCTGGGTGGAGGGGGGAGAAATTATTATAAGAAGTATTGCTGTTATTGTTGTTACGATTTTGTGGCCCACAATAGCATTTCAGACTAAAAGCCAGGACCAGGCAAGGAGGAGGATGCTCACAGGGAGGTACAGGCTGCTGCTCCACGAGATCCCCATCCTCACCATTCACTCTCCTTCACAATGCTACCCACAGTTATTCTGCCTTGTTCTGGCTATTTAGCTAGTTTTACTTGAAGAGATGAGCTTGGATAAGAAAATTGAGAAGCACCTCAGAATAGCCAAGAAGCCTAGTGGTTTGGGCCCACAGGAGACTGCTGAAATTCAAATTGAAGCTTCTATTTTTATTCAGACAAAATCAGAGGCTTAAAAAAGGGTTATCGCATCGCAGTGGTTGCCTGTTTTCAGGAAAGAAGAGTAGAAACTAACTGGATTTGGTTTTCTTTCTGTTTTAGGTTTTATGTTTTGGGGTTTTTTTGGCTGGATGGTTGGGTTTGGGGCTTTTTGTTTGTTTGCTTGCTTGCTTGCTTGTATTGTTCTGCAAAGTTTCAGCTTTATCCTGGTGCAGAATAGGAGAACTGGAAGAAAATTTGGCTGGATTTTTTGAAAGGAAAGATGGTATCTTCTTCCACACCTGCACATGGAGCATCAGTGGGAAAAGTAAACTGTTTACAGGTGTGCCAAGAAACTGGTGCTGCACCAGCTGTAAGGCAATGGACTGTCTTCTTGTTGTGGAGATATACCTGGTTATCCCACTGTAAAGTAGGATCTGGCCCAGGCAAGCTCTGAGGTCTGCCACAGGGGACATGACCAGGTGCTATAGCTGAGATTAGAAGTCCAGAACTGTGACGGCATTTTCCTCTTTGCATGATTTGCATACATACCTCAAAATGCCCCAAAATGTAAACCAGAAACCCCCTGTCAGTGAAAGCCTGGAGAAAGATGGTGCCATGGGGCTAGGTAGGAGGGCCTGATAGGGGGTTTATCATTATTTCAGATTGAAAGTGAAGGGGAGTTTGAGCTCGATGAGCAATAGTTCTATTAAAGGTTAAACCATGAGAAACTTCACTGAAATGGTGAAACATTATATGAAGAGAATAGTTAGAGAGATTCTGTGAAGATGGCTACTTTGAAAAGTAGAAAGTGGTAGTGGGGAAGGAAGGATGACAACAACAGAGAAAACTGACAGCAGCACTGATGCTAAAATCTGGTGAACTGAGCCCAAATGTTCATCTTAGCCTACCAAGACTGATCTCCTCTGACTTTCTCCAAAGTTAGTGGATAGAGAGGCTCTTCCTGCACGTTTCAGAGCACTGAATGCAGTGCCTGCTCTGGAGCACCACTGGGTGTGAGGAGGAGAATGGGTTCCCCTGGGTTAAAGTCATGAGACCCTACCTCTCCTCTGCCTGTGCCACAAGAAGGGAAAAGGACAAAGCAGTGCAGTTCAGTGGGGAGCTGCTTCCACAGAAAGCTTGACAGTGATGGGAACATGAGGAAATGGAAATTTGAAAAGCTGCAGCATGGGTCCCTGTTTGTTTCCTGGTGGCAGCTGTTTGACCCAGGAGAATCCAAACCTGAAGGGGAGAGGAGGTGCCACATCTCCTCGGTATGTGCAGAACAAGTTGCATGGTGAAGTTGCGTTGCTGTTTTGTGGTACGGGGGAGGGGGGATTTACAGCAGCCCAGGCCATTCTCCCCAGGTATGTGGCAGCTCTCTGCTGAATTTGGAATGCTATTTCCACTGGCTATGAAGAAGAGCTGCATGCTTACCCAGGCCAAGGCTGTGCTCCTGTTTTGGGGGATAGCACTGTCTTTATGGAAATGTGTAACAGAGAAATGAGACTCCTTTTCCCTTTGCCTTATGCTCTATCCCTACCATTGAGCCTAGGGCTGTAACAAAGGAGTCAAGAGCAGTCTGCTGTTAGACAGCTGGGGTTTGAATGATTGTCATCCTTTTTGAAAGAGGTAGAGAGGGCTTCATTTCTGTCTCATTTCTCTTCAGTGAAGAGCTGGCTGCCTGGTAAATCCAGGAGTGCAGAACCCACATCTTGGTAACTTATAGTGGTGATTCCTTTGCTGCGTCTTTCTAATAGGTAATTTTCCCTTGGGCCATGCAGGAGCATGAAGAAGGGCCTGGAACTCCATTTCTACCATTTGCTTACTGCGTAACAAGGTCACGATGACATGCATCCCTGTTCCTAACTTCACTAGCTAGTTTTAGGTCTCAGTTTAACATATATTGAATGAGCATAGTGAGAGACGGTACTAAATGTACCAGCAAGGGGCCAAACGCAGTTGTAAAGTGGTGAAATTTCCCCAAAGGCTTTTCCAAGAATAGATGCAGGGAAGCAGGAAACAGCACACAGCAAACCTTCTGCCTTCCAGTTCATGTTTCTCCCTTAAGGTCCTTCCCTGACTACAAGGCAACTGGATACGATTGCAAGCATGGCCTCTGGTGCATCCCTGCAACAATTCAGGCACAAAGTTAGGGGTGATTAAGCTGCCCCTACCACTTCTTCTGCCTAGGCATAAAAGGAGGGCAAATGCCAAGCCTCTTCCCCAGTGCGTTCCTTAAAGTCACTGTGTCTGCTTAGATTACAGCTCACATTTCAGTAGGCAGGAGAGCCTGAGTTGCATATCTGACCCAAAGTTGAGAAGGATCTATAGTTTACAAGACCAGAGCAGAAGGAAAATACCTTCAAATCAAGGGTTCATGCTTAAGGACCCTGCTTGTTCTCCCATTCATGCTAAAGGCCTCTTGCAATGTGGCATCCCCATCATCAATTATTCAAAGGGGAAGGTTTTAATGAAGAAGCTTGAACTGCTTGAAGAACTGCTAAAATAAATGAATAAATTACAGAACCATTACAAGTAACAGATGATTCCAGAGTGTTTCCAGGGCTGAGCTTGCTCCTATGCTGACTTTAGCTGCACTCTTGTGGTTTATTTTCAGAGCAGTTTCCCTGAGAAAATAATTGCAGTGCCCTTACTCTAGGGGCATGCACATCCCAGATGAACTAGGCCTCTTTTAGCACATCAGCATTCATTGTCTGGGTGAATTAAGTGCTGTGCTAAATGACGGAAACTCTCCCATGCCAGCCCACATCAACAGTTGCCTCAGCCTTCCCCACCCAGTCTCTCATCTTTTCCTGAACAATAAGATACGTATCTGGAGACAGAAATGATCAATGGAGCACAGAACGGGGAAGCAAGCATGGAAAAAACTGTGTGTGTCTGTGTGCATGCATGTGCCCAAAGCAATGTCAATGACATGGCCCCTCTGAGGAGGCAGGACATGTCTGGGGAGAGCACTGGGTAGAAGCAGCTATTCCTGGCAGCTGTCGGTGCCTGCAGGAGTGTGCTGCCACTGTGGCAACACTTGACTTACGGGGCAGAGCTGGGAGCAACCATACAAGCATCAGTGCTTGGGTATGGGGGAGCAGGAGAAGGAAATGCCCCCAGAGCTGAGCTACCCAGCTCCTCAAGTGTGGAGGCATGTAGTGAGGAGCAGTTCTAGCAACTGGCAGGGCCAAGCTTCCCACCGCACCAGTCCCAGGGCTGTGCAGGATGAAGGGCTGTAGGCCTGTAGTGGCACCTGGAAAGAGCTGGCTAGCTGCAGAAAGGGAGGGAGGAACTTCCTCGGGAGGCACTGCCCTAGCTGCCAATCTGTCCTGATAAGCAAGCACTTAAATCCTCACGTGTTAGGGCATAAACCAAAGAGGAAGCTCTGTGTTGGTGCAGCCTGTGTCATAGCTGCCCGTTGCTGAGGTTATGACTAACAGCCACAGAGGGCACCAGTGCAGCTCTCACCTGCTGTTCAGGGGAACACTGTGTCACCATCGAGCCTGCACAGGTGAGTCTCAAAGTTACCTGCTTGAGGTGGGTCATGATCCAGTTGAGTTATTCTCCTTTCCCCGCCCTGCACTGACAGTAGGGCAGAAATGAACATACCTGACTTGTTCTCTTTCTGTCATCTTTGCCATGCTGACTCCTGGGGTTGGAACTGCAGCCTACCTCTGACTGCTAGGTGATCTTCCACCCCAGGATCAGCCCAGCTCTGCTTAGCTCTGGAAAGCAGGCAACACCCAGTGTGCTTACCTCAGTGC